GCTTGGTATGACATGGATTGTCGTACCATTGACAGACACCCTAGGGTCCCACTTGCACGAGGTTCCTGGAGTTTGACTCCTCTGTGAACTTGTTCACAGAGACGGGACGTAGAATGCTGGTTCCCGGGGGCTGGGGCTGGGAGCCACGGGGACATGGGGAGCTCCTGCTTCCAGATGTCAGACATTCGGTTCCACGAGATGAAAAGCGTTCCGCAGATAGATGGTGGTGATGCAAACAGTATGAATGTACTTCAGACGCCTGAGCTGTGCACTCAAAAATGGTTAAGACTGCAGATTTGATGTTCTGTGTATTTTACCGCAATTTAAGATTGGAGAAAGGTACATCAGGTACTACAAATATTGTTGCACAGGGCAGAGCTAAAGTACTGTTTAAATTGAACGTACCTATGAAACAAGTGTGCAGATGAGACGCTAAGGGGAAGAAGCCGGGGAAGTCGGTATGCCCTGTGCTCAGATGGACGGTGCCTTCTCCACCCTCCCACCCCTCCCGGCCCAGCGCCGTAGTCCTCCGTCCACTGCGCTTGCACGCATGTTTACCCCTCCCGTGGCCCACCCAGTGCATCCACAAGGGCTCGATCCAGGGCCCTGTGGGTTCTGCACAGACCCGGAGCCGTTAAGCCCTTACTCCTGACATTCACAAAGATTCTTATGCTTCACTTTTGCCTTAGCAGTGGTCATGAGCACCTCTGCCAGATTCTTCCCGGTATCAGACGGAGGGGTTCTGGACTCTAGCCTGGCGGGCACGAGGGACATAGAGCAGTTCAGCTGGTGCTGTGCGTGCTTTCTCCAGGTGGAGGCTGGGCTCGCCCCATCCCCTCCTCGGGCTGCCCCCACGTGGCCGGCAGACCGGCACAGCTGCGACTGGGCTCCTGGGCACTAGAAGGACCTGAGAGCTGAACCAGGCTGCCGTCCTCCTGTGTGTCCTCATGCCCAGGGCCATGACACATCTTAGACACACACGATGTTGATGTGGTGCTCTGCGAGCCACCCTAATGCTGACACCAGCTGGGAGACCATGGACGAGTCCCTTCTCTGGGGCATTTCCCCAGCCACACTCAGCAGGGACATCCCCTGGGTCTTACACCCAGAAAGCTTTCCAAGTTCAAATCTGGTTGGGTCATTATACTCTTGTCTCCTGCTTGAAATGTCTTCAGCTTCTGATATTCAGGATGGTAATAATACCATGAACTAACAGCTAACATTTATCAAGGGCTTACTGTATGCCCGGTGCTACTGCCCAGGTCTTTGGTGCATTACTTTATTGCATAATGCCAACACCTGAGACTTACTAAGACGAAAGTAACTGGCTGCAAGTCTGGGCTTTCAGGAACAGGCCTTGGGGAGAAGATGAAGAAGGAAAGAGGAAGAGAATTAACCACCATATTCACGCCTCACTAAAAGCAGCGCTTCTTACACTTTGAAGGGCACACGCACCCCCGGGAATCTCGTTAGAAAGCTGATTTTGACTCCATAGGTCTTGGGCGGAGCCAGAGGTGCTGTGTTTCTTTTTTTCTTTTTTTTAACAGACTTTTTTTTTTAATCTTTATTTATTTATTTGACAGAGATCACAAGGAGGCAGAGAGGCAGGCAGAGAGAGAGGAGGAAGCAGGCTCCCCGCTGAGCAGGGAGCCCGATGCGGGGCTCGATCCCAGGACCCTGGGATCATGACCTGAGCCAAAGGCAGAGGCTTTAACCCACTGAGCCACCCAGGTGCCCCGGTGCTGCGTTTCTAATAGCAGTGGGCTGTTGCTGCTCGCCCCCAGATCAGGCTCTGATTGGGGAGGCCTCGGAGCACCTCCACAGGGGATGGAGCTCCTTCAGTCATTCGTTCCCTCACACATTCATTCACTCCCTCACTCCGTTCCGGAAGCAGTCTAGAAGCGAAGGGCGTGATGGGCTTTGACATTTGGAACCAGCTTGTGATCCTGGTTCTGCATTGGCTAAGCAGGGGCTTCTCTGAGCCTCAGTCGCCCATCTGCAAAATGGGAATGAAACTCACATCTCAGAGAGTCTCGGTGAATAGTGAGATGCGATAAAATGTGGCAAAAGTCGGCCCCAGGGTCTCAGGCATGGTGGGCATTTCGTAAATGGTCATGGTTCAAGAGCTGTTTTTACTGGTTCTTTTGCTGTTTGATTCCAACAGAGGTTTTGACTAGTTCCAATAAGTGTATTTATATGACAGCAACATTTTTATTGAAATAAATCTCTTCCTTTTCAAAATACATCATTTATTTTAACATTTACTTATTTACGTACTTCCGTGAAGACATCCCAGTGGCTCTGAAGGCTGCCAGTGATGGGCCCAGAGTCACCGTCCTGAATCCGAGGAATGGGCGTGGACGGGGAAACGTGTCTTCTAATGATTTCCACAAAAGGTGGAGATGACGAGCCGTGGGAGTCACTCGCCAAATGACTCCACCAGAAAGGAGTGAGAAATGGATGGGTGGGGGGGGGGGCTGGTATTGGGTAAAATGTCAGCAGATCACAAACTGTTAATTATCCAAGGAGAACTAAGTATTATGTAGGCTCTTACAGACAGGCCTCTGAAAGCAACAATAAGAAAACGTGGGCCCCGGCCGAATCGCACGTCCCCTTGAAGAAGGGCTGGGGAGACGGGTTTTAGCATGCCAATCAGGCGTTCTACTCTGAGGGAGAGGGAGAGTGAGGGGCCTGGGGGCCCCCAGGGAAGGGGGAGAGAGAGGGACTCAGGGATCCCCTCGCCCTGCCAGTCCGTCCAAACCAGGCACACAGTGCCTTGCTTTGAAAGGCAGCCTTCTCCCCAGGTCCGGGCCTGGAATCTGCAGCCCCCCTCCCTGGGTGCCCCCCCACCAAGATGTCATCTTTTGAGACGATTTCATGTGGAAGCATCGCTAAGTAAATTCGCTAAATGCCTATTCATCCCCGTCAGATGGGGGCTCGGTGAAGCAGTAAATGTGAAAATGGCCCCAGCTCAGGGTCCTGAAAGGAGCTTTCTGGGGTTGCCAAATGGAGCTGCGGCCGCTGACCCTGGGAGGCCTGAGGCTTTGCGCACAGGGCCCGGGAGCCACCGCCTGGCCCCTCCAATCCTCCCCCTGAGGCCGCTGAGAGGGCCTATTTATTATTCCTGCTGCCAGGGACCCATTCAGAGGTTAACTTGTCCCCGTATTCATCAGGACGACAATAATGAACTGTCGCGGAGTGGCGAGGGGTTTGGTAAATAGGAACCGCTAAGACCTGGCAAGGGAACGGGCCTCTTTACGGTTTGGAAAAAGACATCGTTTTCTTTCTTTCTTTCTTCTTTTTTTTTTTTTTTTTTGTATGGACTGAGCTCATTCCCACCTCTCCCAGCAACTTCCAGAGGGGTTCTGCCCACAGCTGCCCATAACTTGGTAGGAGGCTCGTGGGCTTTCCCTGACAGCATGCGGGCACGGTTGTCCACACAGGAGACCCATCATGTTGCAGACACGTGGGGTTAGCCTTTTGTCTGCGTCCCTGGGATTCACCCCTCTGCGCCCATGTGGGGCTTGGCTTGCTGCGTGTGTGCCAGGTACACACTGGGGTGTACCGGGGTTTCCCAGACGCTGCTGGAACGGCTGGCTGTGAGTCGGGTTCATCTCACTGGCAGGATGGGACATCGGCAGTGCTCCTTATCACTGCAGTGTCTCTTAACTGCTCGGTGCCCCCTCTGCTGGAATTAGGAGTTGGTCAACATGAGTCATCCAGTCACAGAACAGGGGCTGGCGGTGGCGCTAGGAGTTGCAGGGAAATGAAGGCAGTGTGCCAGGTGGGGGCCACTCAGACCCGATGGCGGGAGGCGGAAGGCGCTGAGCCCTTGGGTTTATTGCACACCTACTATATACCCTTTCAGTGTGCCCAGTTGTCTGTACGCTGTATGTGCAGAGAGCCCGCTATCTGCTGGGCGGTAAGGGGAGTTCAGAGAAGGAGGTTAAATTACTCACCCTTGGACACACAGCTGGGTCAGGAGTGGAGCTGGGATCTGTCTCCAGACCTTTCTGCTTCGAGAGCCCAGGCATTGCTCTCCGAGGCACCCACCTGCCTCCCAGCGGTCTGGTGGCCCTCTATTCTGTTCCCAAAGACGTCCTTCCTTTCCATCCACCCTTCCTCCCACTTTGAAACAGTGGTTAACCCTTTCCTTCTTAAGTAAAAATCGCTGAGCAGAGAGCCCCGATGGTAAAGGAGCTGTCACTTCAGCACCGTTTACCTGTTTGGGTTTATTCAGCAGAAGAGACGACTGCATTTCTGGCAGATGGAGACCCGTGTGACTGCCTTTTAAAATACTGTCACAGCTGTATGCACAAGCTGATTAGCTGTGACTACACTGCCTGTGCCGAGATTGATGGCGATAAATTTGGGATAACAATGCTGGGAACGACGTCATCTGTTTGGATCACACTTTGTATTTTTCAAAGCTCTCTCAGTCGGTAGCCCCGTGGGTATCAAGGACTTGGTATCATTCATCCAGCAACCCTGCTGTAGCTCCTACTGTGTGCCGGGGAGGAGCAAATCCCACTAGGTTCTGCCGTCATGGAGCTTACATCATAATACAAGCCAATTTAACACTTCGTAATAGACACAGAAGGTTGTGATAAAGGTGAAAGTGGGGAAGGTAGATGCTACTTTAGGTTGGGTGGCCAGAAAAAGCCTCTCTGAAGAGGTGACATTCGGAAGGAGACCCAGATGACAACAGCAAGCCAGACCTGGAAAGAGAAAAGACTGACTTTCCCAGGCACAGCAGGTGCAAAGGCCCTCAGGCTGTTAAGTAGTTGGCATTGCACCGCACACTGATGACTTCATGTTTGCCAAGCCCGGTGCTGGGCACTAGAGATTCTAAAACAGTTGGGGCACCATGCTTACCCTCAGAGAGTTCACAAGATATGGAACATGTAGGATACAAATACAGTAATAGTCCTTTTAAACGTACTGCGGTAAGTCCACGGTCTCTGGAGGACTCTAACCTTCCTCTTGGTTTGTTTCCACAGGACAAATGACCAGCTGGTGGCATTTCTCTCCCGGTACCGAGATATGAATTTCCTGAAGTCACACGGCCGGGACAACGCAAGGTAGTACATCTTACTCCCCAACACACCCTTGTGCAAAATGGAAATGAAAATCTGAGTGATCGTTTGGGGCTTCCTTCCTGGTTTGGTACAGCCAGAGGAAAGTAGATAGTGGGAGAAAGGCATGGCTCAGCCCTTTTCACATAGGATCTGAGATGGTCTCCTGCATTAGCCAAGGACAGGAATAATAGTAAGTGCATCTCCTCTCATGATAGGCCTTTACACCTTTTTCTGGAGTACTTTTCTGAGTCCGTTATCTCATTACGACCATCCTTTGAGGTAAATAGGGCAGCCATCATTACTCTCTACTATATTGGTGGGAAGACCAAGGCCCAGAGTTTAAGTGATGGCCTCAGTTCATTGGGTCAAAGATGCGCGGCCATCACTGGTCATCTAGTCATTCAGCAAATACCTGCCCCGTGCCACCTCGTGTCAGGCAGCCTTCTAGAGGTGAACAACACAAAAAGCCTCCTTCTCGTAGAATTTACTTCATAGGGAGAAAGAGTCTCTCGCCAGCATGGAGTTGAGCTCAACTATCATGACTTCCTCTCTCTGTCCGTGCCAGTGGCTCACCCTTGCCGCCTAGGACATGGGCAGAGGTTCGAGGCACCAGAAGCCCCATCTGAATCCACTGCACCTCACTCACCTATGAGTGAAGCCGAACAGCTTTGAGGCACGTCTGTGTCTCTGGCTGGAGGTCAGCTAGAAGGGTGTCAGTCTCGAGCGCCTCCTGTAGGGCAGATCACAGGCTCAGTCTCCCCATCCCCAGGTTCATTAACAAAGCCCAGCCCAGGATCACTCTGGGAGTGAGGCTGGGAGGGAGGTTTTTTGCTAGCGTTGAACTCAGACCGTAACCTGCCAGCGTATGGGATAATTTGAGCGCGTTCCTGTGTTTTGTTTGGGCCTCGTGTTGGTTTGGTTTTGTTTTGCTTTGATTCCAGTGCTTCATTTAAAAGTGAATAGCCCATGTAAAAATAGCCAAGTTTTCCATGCAATCCGGATTTCAGTTCCTCTTAAAAGATCCTGGTGTCTGCTCACTCTGGGCCTGAGTTTTCCCACGGGGAGGCTCTCACCGAGTCATAGACAAAGCCTTTGTCCTCCAGGTCACCGTGGTCCTCACCTGTCCCCCTTCCCTACCTGGCCCCCCTCTGGCCTTCCGGGTTGCGATCTGTGCTTTGGGTCTTCTCTGCCAGGCCTGGTGGAGGCGTGCTTTGGCTGGCTTGGGAACACTGTTCACCCAGTTACCCACGGCAGGCAGCAGGGGAGGGACAAGAAGCAAGCAGTGAGCCCCATCTCCTGAGCTCTCCAGATGTAACCCCGAATCCTTCATTTTGTCATTTCCGAAATTCTTTGATTTCATCCAGCTGTTAGATTGTTCCTTTCCTACTGACAGCCTGAATTTTTTTTTACATTTCGAAGGAACCCGACTTGAGGGTGCTCTCTAAATCAGCCCAGATGAGTATGTTCCACCAAGAAGGGTAGCGAGGCCTGGGGTAGACTCAAGAATTGTAGCCACTGGGCATTGTGTTCCTAATAAGTACCCCGCTCCACTGACCCTTTCTAGGGGATCCAGTTTCATTCTTACGTCCATTCTGTGCAAAGTAAGAATTACTATCCCCATCTGTCAGGAGAAGAAAAGGAGTCTTTGGGAGTCTAAATGATCTTGCTAAAGTTACACAACTGGTAAACGCCAGAATTTGAACCCAGTTCTCTGCCCCCAGAGCCCAGGTGGAGCAAGGCGGAGCTGAAAAAGATTCCATGCAGGTGTTAGTTATCAAAACTGGCCCAGATGTTGGTGTCTAGGCCCATTCTCTAGGTGGAGAATGAAGACTCTTCTTCCCCGCCACGTAACCTTGTAATACGCGTTTGGTGCAAAGTCGCGTTGTGAGAGAGGAGCCTGTTGTAATTTGATGGCCTTGGGTCTGAATTATGTCTGCCCTAGTGTTATTATGCATCCTCGTCCGTATTTATTCTCTCTCCACTATTTCCAGGCCCTGTGCTTGGGACTGGGGATAGCACAGAGGTTAAAACTCATGAGCTTTGAGGTTGTACGTCCTGGACTGGAGTCCTGTTCTGTCCTCTCCTAGCTGTGTTGAATTTGGCAGGTGACTTAACCTCTCTGAGCCTGATCCCTTACCCGTATAATGGAAATATTACTAGACCTACCCCTGCGGGGTTGAGGGGATTCAGTGGATGCTGCATCTAAAGCATCCAGCCCGTAATAAATGCCATGTGACGATGGTGACGTCAGGCCATGATGAACAGAGGATGAAAATATTGCTGGTGGAAGAGATAAGCAGTTGGTGCTGGGGCCAGAGCCGAGCCCCTGGATGTGGGAGTATGTCCGGTCTAGTTGACATGCACGGGTGGTTGACAGGTACCCCACTGGCGCAGGACAAGGTGAAGGTTCAGGCTAGGATGTGGATCACACCTCCTCCTGAAACCCTAAAACCCAAGGCTCTCTGAACAGAAACGCTCACAAGTTCTGCTACCCGTGAATGAGCCCTTGGCTGGTTTTCTCTCACTGAGATGAATGAAGGGCAGTAATTGAGTATTAATTTTGTAGTAAAATGAGCCATCATCTGCCCCCCTCTCCTCTCCATCAGCTGGGGCCTCACCTGCTGCGTGAGCCAGCCTAGCCACAGCGCATGCTCTGTCATCCCCTCCCCAGGGCAAAGGGCTGGCCATGGCTTAGCTCCAGTCCCTGAGCGGGTGGTGTGTCACAAATGGCTCTGGGTGGCAGATAACCAAAACCCAGCTGAAACTAGGCTAAGTGAGTAAAGGACGTTAATGAAAGGAGGACATTGGTGTCTGACTTCAGGTAGGGCTGAATCAAGCGGTTCAGATGACCCTCCCTCAAGTCCAGACTCCATTAGTTCTTTCCCTTTCCTCTCCTTTTGTGGGTTGTTTTTGGCTGTTTAATTATTTACTATTATTCCTGGAGAGGGTTAAAGAAAAAATAGATACATCTAACAGCCAAATAGTTCAATAGCAGGAATCTTCTTGTCTTTTTCAATTGGGATGTAATTGACCTAACATTGGATTAGCTCCAGGTGGAAGACATAACAATTCGTTATTTGTATATGTTGCAAAATAATCACCATAAGTCTAGTTAACTGTCTGTCACTGCACATGGTTCCAGTTTTTCCTTGTGATGAGAACGTCTCAGATCTATTCTCTTAGCTGGTTTCAAATACGTGATACAGTATTACTGACTGTATGTCATGTCCCCGGGACTTATTTATTTTACAACTGGACATTTGTACTTTGTGACAACCTCCTTACCTTCTTTTAGTTCTTGTTTCCTTTGTGTTGGTTTGATTTTTCTGGCTCCAGATGGTGACCCTTTGCAACTTACTAGCCTCGTTTTACAGATGAGGAAACAGAGAGGTTAAGTAACTTGCTTAAGTGCACTGAGGGCAGGTCTGGGACTCAAGTCTGGGGTGGGGAGGGTGTCCCCAGAGCCCAAGGTCATGACCCCTATATGATGCAGCCTGTCTGTGCTCTGGGCCTGCCTTCCTCCCGTACGCTGGGTGGCCTCGAGGCAGCCACTCTGCTACTCTGGGCTTCCATTTTCTCCCTCTGAAAACCAAAGGGGATGAACAAGATGGTCTCCAGAGGCCCTTTCCATTCGGATGCTCTCCACTCCCGGACCAGCCCTTGTAAAAGACATTGTGACAAAGGCAAAGAGTTTGAAAGACCAAACGATGTAGAGAGGCCAGAGCAAGCAGTGAGACACAAAATAGGCCACGGGGTGCCTCGGATTTTAATTCCACGTGTTTCCTAATAGCAGTGCTGACCTTCTGTCCCCATCTCCAGCCCTTGGCAGCCAATTTGGATCCCCAGCTCCAGCTGCGAAGAGATGGCATAAGGCAAACTAATATTTTAACAGCCGCCAAATCGGTCCCGACTGTTCCTGTAATTAAATGACGGGGAGTGTTGTGTTCACTGTTTCTCCTTGCTTTCCTCCAAAAAATAAAGTAACCAGATACAGGGAAAGACAGGCAGCTCGGTTCATGTTTTCCCAGCGAGCCCCTGCAGGGCGAGCAGAAGCAGGTGCTCTAAATAAAGTCCGTTGTGAGCCTCAGTGGGCAGGTCCTAGCAGATGCCCCCCAGAACTCCTGGATTCTGCTCAGGGGGCATGTGAGATGTTTCCCAGATGTCCGCAGCCCCTGACAGGGGACAGAAAGGGAAAATCCTTTCCATCAGCCAGAATAGGATTTCCTCCTGGGTCCATCTGAGCTCCCCGCCTGATCTGAGGTCCCCAGGACCCCCATGCTGAGCCCAGGGACGCAGTGCCGTGCGGGGCTAAGCCCTTGCCCGCCGGAGGCTCAGCACCTGTGTCGAGATGCCGCCTCTGTCATTGAGTCGGCGATCGGACTCCGGCAAATGGCTTTGCCTCTCCATGCCTCTGTTTGCTCATCTTTATATCATCTGATCAGGGAGGTTGGGACGGTGGAGGACTGAGGAGCCTCACTGACCCCTGGAAGGCCCCGAGCCAGGCACTGTCCACTGTGGTGTCTCATTCCAGCCTCACTCGGAAGGTGCTCTCCGTCTCAGAGAGGAGTACAGCTGAAGCATGGAGGGTTGTTTTCGCGGGTTCAAGGTTCCCTGGCTGGTGGGCAGCGGGGCTGGGACTGGAACCTGCCACCCTGACTTTGAAGACCTGGGTTGTTTTTATCATGCCATGATTCGTGAGTGCCTCTGAGAGGACCTGCAGTTTTAGGCCCTTGATAGGGGCACAGACGAAAGAGCACAGCTCTGACTTGAAGCAGAAGTGCTGTGTCAGTGATCCGGGGAGGGAAGAACAGGTCCTTTCCCTGCTTCGCCGGGTCGGTGCGTCCCAGCACGTGTTCACGGTCCACTAGTGGTACGTGAGATGGTTTCAGGTCGTTCTTCACGGGCTTCCGGGGAAAGTTAGGCATTGACCGTAAGTATATCAACAAACGTTTGTATAATTGATTGCGTGATTTCATGGCCATCGTGCTTAGAATAAGACTGAG